AAAATTCTTCTGCCGATCCCCTGAGCGAGCTCCAGGGGCGGGGTGCAGCGGCCGCACCCACTGAACTCGCCGGTTCCGCTATGGGTCGCGTCAAGAAGGAGGAGGACCTTGGGCCCGAGGCCCTCTCTGCTCCGCCTGCCGCTACGCCCTCTCGTCCCTCGCCGTCTCTCCCCTCGCCACCACCACACTCGCCGCAGTGCTGCCCTAGCCACAGCGCTGCCTCGTTGCCGCCGCCACTTGCCACACCGCCGCCGCCCTCACCGCCGCCGCCCCTCGCCCGCCAAAGGCCGACGAGAACTGGAAGTCCAAGGACCCAAAGGCGCTCGCGCACGAGATCGCCACCTTTATGGGCGGAGAGTGGCCCACGAGGCCGGTGCGCAAGGTCCAGCTCGCGGCGGACGGCGTGCCTACGGTGCCCGGCCGCCCGCCAAGGTCGCGCGCACACCGGAGGGCCTCCGACGGCGCCGCGCCCCGCTCCGCAGGGCGACGAGGAGCTCTTTGAGATGACGATGCTCAACCCGACTCTACTGTCAGAGATGTCGCTCAAGACGCGCTTCCTGTTCCTGGAGGCGCGCGCGGCTGGAAAGGAAGCGGCCGAGAGCCCGCCCTGCTGAGCGCGGGCAGCGCCCGGCAGGTGTACCTGGAGGACCTGCAGGACGTGTACTCCGAGGTGATGGAGACCCTCAAGGGCGACAAGGCGCCTGGCCGTCCACCCTGGCCCTCCACCCACCTGCCAGCCGCGCAGGAGCGGCGCGTCACCGCCTGCCCCCCTCCCCTCCGCCCGGCTCTGCGCAGGTGACGTACGACAGCCTGCGCAAGTTCAAGCACCTCGCAATCTCGCTCGCCTTCAACGCGGTCTCGGACGTCTGCCAGCAAGCCTTTGACAAGACCGACTTTGACCCCTTCCCGGAGGTTCAAACCCGCCTGTACGGCTGCGCCTTGGGGTGTGTTCACAGGCGCCCGCCTCCCCCCCCCCCCCCACCCTAAGGAGGGGGCCGAAGAGCGTCCGGGCTGCGTGTGCCCGCTCGACGTCAAGGCCTTCACGCAGCAGACCGCTGCCGCCGTCGCCCTCGTCAAGATGATGGTCGATGCCGAGGGAGAGCTGCCGCCGGCTGCCGAGCCGCGCATCGTCCGTGTCGAGAAGAAGTTCTACTACGACGACATCTGAGTGTGCGTGTGCGTGCTGGCATGGTGGCATGCGCCGGGGAGAGGAGGGCGAGGGGAGCAGCGGGCAAGGTGGGAGGTCCCCTTCCCGCGGATGCGGTCGGGAACGCAAAACCAGCTGGCCGGGTCGGCGGTGGTGGCGGTGGTGTCGCTCGACTCAGCCACCGGACGCGCGCCGAGCCGAGCCTCTTGGGTCGCACTCCGCTCTCGATGTGTGGACGATGATGATGTCTTGGGCGCTTTGATTCCCCACCCATGCTGTGTGTCGCCTCCTCTTGCGATTGCTCCTTGAGTGTAATAAGTTTCATGAATCCAGCATTCTTTTTTTGGCACAGCACTGGGCGTTGAAAATTCTTTTTGCATTTTGCTCAACTTGATACTTGTGTTGTGCCCGTGCCGGCTCGCGGCTGCCGCCGCGTGGCGCGCGTGCGCGCCGCCAGTCTTCCCGTGCCTAGACCCTAGTGAGAGTGACCGCTCACCGTAAAATTCTTTTTGCGCCAGTCCTCTCTTCCCCAGGGTTCCAACTTTTTCCGGGGTATGGTACCCTCGCGGCCCAAAGGGTGGGGGGGTATGGTCCTGACCGCCCATCCCCGGTCTCCGGGAGGCTGGGTCTGTCAGCAGGCGGGGGGGTATGGTCTCGAGGTGGGTTGAACACACCAGTGAGGGTGGGCGAGACGATCGACATCGAGGGGTCCCGTACCATGCGGAACCGACCCTATCCAGTGCTCAAGTGCTCAAGGTGGGTTGCGGAGCGTCCAAACCCAGGGTTCCGGCTCCTACCCAGATAGGGGGTCTGTCGGCACCCGTTGGACCCTATGCAATAGGTAGGTAGGTCCGGTTTTGACCGCCCCAGAGGGCCCCGCAATAGGTAGGTAGGTGGCGGTGGTGTGGGGGGGTCGGGGGGTGGGGGTAAAAAAACCGCTTCGCTCGCGCGGGAGACGGCGCCCCGGCGTTTAGCCGCGAAACGGGGCCATGCCAGACGAGTCGCCTGCGGCCGGGACGCCAGCCGAGACGGGTGCGGCGGCGGCGCCCGCGGTACAAGCCGGCGCGGCGGGCGCTGGGAGCCTATTCACAGAGGGCTAACGGATATTTTTTCGCGTCGCTGCGCGGCCTGGGAATAGGTAGGTAGGTGGGGCACGGAGCCTGGCGGTCGGCGCCCGCAATAGGTAGGTAGGCAGGGCGTTTTGGCGCGACTCAGTGCCGACAGACCCCCTATCTGGGTAGGAGCCGGAACCCAGGGGCGTTGGGCGTTGGGCGACCACAGGCTCCGACCCACAGCCTGCCGCATGGCCCAGCGAGCACGTGGCCGCGAGAACGCACGGCCCTCCTCTTCGGACGACGAGTGGCGCACCGTGCAGGACCTCTCCAACAAATCCGTCAGCCTCAAGACGCTCCAGCGACTGCCCGTGTCCCTCACGTGCCTCGACCTCAGCCGCTGCGGCCTCGAGTCCGCCAGGCCGCTGCGGGCGCTCGTCTCTCTCGAGCTCCTCAACATGAGCTACAACCGGCTCAAAACTGTGCTGGACCTGCAGCCGCTCTCCGGGCTGACGGTGCTCTACCTGCGCTCCAACCGGCTCACGTCCATCACGCCGCTGTCTGGCCTCGCGCGGCTCCGCTCGCTCGACCTCGAGTGCAACTGTATCGGCTCGCTCGACGCTCTCGCGCCGCTCTGGAACCTCGTCCAGCTGCGCGAGCTGCGGCTGCGCGGCAACCTGCTGCCAGAGAGGTCCTACCGCGCAGAGTGCCGCGAGCGCCTGCCCGCACTCCGCATGCTCGACGGCGCGGCCGCCTCTCCTCCGGCCGCCGCCGCCCCGACGCCGCCCACGCGCGTGGCTCCTGGCTCGGCGGCTGCGGCGCCCGTCGGCGGCGTCTGGGCCGTGGCGCGAGCCGCCGAGGCGGCGGGGTGGACGCCGGGGCCAGCCGACGCCGCCGCAGCTGCGCACCGCCAGCCTCCCGCAGGACTGTCCAGGGCGGAGGCCGCGGAGCTCGCCGCCCTGCGGTCCGAGGCGGAGGCGCTGCGCCGTCGGCTTGGCGGCGACGAGGGCCGTGCCGTCGCCTCCGAGGCGGAGCGGGGCACCGGAGGAGCAGCTTCCACGGCGCCGGAGGAGCTTGCGAGCTTGCGGCGCGAGGTCGCGGCGCGCGCGGCGGCGGAGGAGGAGCTCCGCTCGCAGCTCGGCTCGGCCGTCGAGGCGCGACCGCCTCTCCCGCCTCCGTTTCGAGCCCGCGATACATGTGTTCACTGTGCGCCGCCCCTCACTTCCCGCTCCGCCCTCCGCCCGCGCAGGCGCGGCTGGAGGCGTCCGCGGCCGCGCAGGACAACACGGCGGGAATGGCCGTGTTGCGCACGCAGCTGGAGAGTGTGCAGCTGCAGCTCGCCACGCAGCAGGCGCTGCACGAGTCGCTCAGTCGCGATTCGTCACAGACGGCCGCGCGGTTGCGGGAGGAGGCCGAGGCGCGGGAAGCGCTCGCGCTGGAGGCGGGGGTGGCGCGGCGGGAGCTGGACAACGCGCGGCGCGAGGCTGCGTACGCGCGCGACAGGATGCGGTCGCAGGAGGAGGCGCGCGAGGCGGCGGAGCAGGCCGCGGCGCAGGCGGCGGAGCAGGCGGCGGCGCTGCGGGAGCAGCTCAACGCCGCGGAGGCGTCGCGCGTCTTGCGGGACGAGCAGGCGCGCGCCGAGGCGCGGGCGACCGAGGAGCGCCTGCTTCGCCAGGCGGCCGACCTCGACGCCGCGCGCTCGGAGCTCGACGAAGCGCGCTGGGAGCACGAGCAGCAACGCGAGAGGCGTAGCGGGGAGGCGAGGCTGCTCTCCTCGGCGCTGGCAGACTCGGAGCGGGAGGCGGAGGCGCTGCGAGCCCAACACTCCGCCGCAGCCGCCGAGGTGCAGGCGGCGCTCGCGTGCGCCGACGGCGCGGCGCAGTCCGAGGCGGCGGCCGCGGCGGCTTGCACGAGGACGTCGAAGGCGTGCGCGCGGCTCGAGGCGGAGCTCTCGGGCGCGCGGGCGGAGATCGCGCACTTGCAGGGCGCCGCGCGGAGGGCGCAGGCGGCTGCCGAGGCGGCCGAGGCGGCCGAGGCTGCGGCGGCCGCCGCCGGAGCGGCGGCGGGGGCGGGGGCGGCGAAGTCGGTCGAGGTGCTGCGCTCGCTCGTGGCAGAGCGGGACGACGAGCTGCGCGAGCTGCGCAGAGGCGGCGCCGCGCCAGCCGAGGCTTGCGACGCGGAGGCGGAGCGCGCGGCCTTGCGAGCGGAGCTGCAGGCGGAGCGCGAGTGTGGCGAACGGCAGCGCGAGGAGGCGGAGGCGCTCCGCGACCGGCTGCAGGCCGCCTCCCGACAGCTGCAGGCCGCCTCGGCGGCGACGCTCTCGGCCGAGGCCGAGGCGGCGACTGCGCGTGCCGCGGCCACGCAGGCGGACGAGCGAGCAGCGCTCGCTGCGGACCGCAGAGAGGGGGCCGAGCTGAGCGCGCTGCGGGCGGAGCTCGCCGCGCTGCGCCGGTCCGAGGAGGAGGGCGCGGCCCGCTCGGCAAAGGCGGGCGAGGGCGAGGCGGAGGCGCGGGCGGCGGAGGCGGCGCGAGCCGCAGAGGCGGAGCGAGCGGCGGAGGCGGCGCGGGCGGCGGAGGCGGCGCGGGCGGGAGAGGCGGCCCAAGCGGGAGAGGCGGCCCAGGTGGCCCGGGCCGGCGAACCCGGCTCTCCCCCAAGGCAAAGGCCCCCCCTGGCCGGAGGGAGGTGAAGGAGCCCCCAATTCCCTTGCCCAAGGAG